TACAGTGGCTGTGCTGTGGGGTAAATGAATAATGTATATAAACCATGCAGGAAATACTGAAGAAGAAAAAAGCACCAGCTGTAGGTCTTTTGCTTCCTTTTTTGTTTTCAATTTCTTTTTAATATGTGGTACCCAGATTGACCCCAAATTCCTGTGCTTACATAACTGTTACCTCAGCCTTCTCAGTAACTAGGGATACGCACTAGCTTTAATTCTTTCTGTTGTTTGTTTTTTCTTTCTTTTTATCAGTACTGGGGATCAAGCTCATGACTGCCTGCTCGCAAGGCAGGTGCTTATGCCGCTGAGCTAAATCCCCAGCCCCCTAATTCTTTATTTCACTTATGTATTTGTCTGTTTATGGCACTAGAGATCAAACCCAGGGCCATCAACACTGAGCTTCATAGCTGTAGTTCACCCCACCCCTGCTTTTTGGAGACAGTGTCTTGCTAAGGCCCTAAATTGCTCAGGCTGGGCTCAAACTCGTAACCCTCTTGCTTCAGCCTCCCCAGTGTTCCGGATTACAGTGTGCGCCATTATGGCCAGATAGCCTTGATTCTTACTAAGAGAAGCGCTGATAACTAAAGAGGAAAAATGCTGGCTTCATAAAAGAGTACCAGAAAGAAATTAAGTAAAGGTGGTAAGGGTCTCTCTTACCACTTTATTTCTTTGAATTCAGTTTATAAATAAAAACTCAATTTGGGAGTCGGGCTGAGGGGCTTCTTGCAGATCTCAGCTCCTCACACTGGTAGAAGTTTAATATAGCATTGTACTGTGGGTGTGACAGGTGGGAAAAGAGATGATTAACGATTTGGCTCTTAAAGTAACCCCTTTGTTCTCTGAAGGTGATTGTTTATAAGAGTTGTGTTTCTTGCTTTCATTATTATTCTTGCTAAGCCTCAAATGAATTTTTGTTAAGGGAGAAAAAAAAGCATACAACAACTCCTCATTATCCTCATCTGTATAATGTTGGCATTGTGAGACCGTGTAATTTCTAGGTTCCTTTTTTAAAGAGTCTCTATATGCGTGTGTGAAAGAAATGCAAATTCAAAGCTGTAAATTTCTGCGATGGGGCTTGGGCAGCTGGAATCACCAAGCAATTCCTCTGGGAACCATTTTGGTTCCAAGAGGAGACACTTTTACTTCAAAATTGAACTTTGAAATTTAAAAATAAAAGCAGAAAAATAAATACATAAAGGCATTCCTCGGCCTGGAGAAATCATTTAAATTTGGGGAGAATGTATCTGCATTTCCGGGGTAGTGATAAGCCATGGGAATTTCCTTTAACGGTCTCAGCTCCAGCATCTATCCCCACCCTCCCCAGGTCTTCTGCCCTGTGTCAGGCTGGGGACATGAGGTCTGTGGCTCTTTCCCCCACTTTGCAGTTCAGCACCTCTGATGATCTCCATGGACTGTGCCTGGTTGGTTGCGTTTGGTTTTTGGTGCTGGAGATGAACTCAGGGTTAGCCACGCCCACCCCATCTCTATGTTGTTACAGTTTCTTTGTGCTTCTGAGTCCTTTCTCCCTCTCCCAAAGTCTGTTTGTCTTTCTTGTCCTTTTTGGGCCTCCTGCTCTGTGGTAGTGACTGGGATATAGAACGGTCACAGACAGCTGGCTCACAACTTCTTTTGGCTCAGTAGATTTCACAGGGTTGTCACTGAGAAGTATCAAGGTCCAGAAAGGTGGAAAGAGAGGGGATGGGGAGAAACTTAACATGGAGCTCCCCAGATGGATGGAGAATCCCTTTTCCAGCAGGTACCCAGTGGAGACACCTGTTGAAACTACAGAGAAAGACCTTGTCGGGGGTAGTGGCTTGGTGAGAGGCTCCCCGGGAGCTGGTCCAATCAGGACAGCCATCTCTGCACTGGAATCAACCTCTCTGGAGCAAAATGGAGGGAGGGTGTGCTGGCACACAGATGCTCCGCTGTGGATCTGAAAGATGTCTCCAAGCAGGGTGATTTTCATGGCTAGTTACGTATTCTCACTTTGGATTTCCTCACCTGTAAAATAACGAGATGCTATCTGCTAGGAGGAGTTGTAAAGCTTAAATGATGTGTTACAGAACACCTAGTGTAGCCACTGATAGTAGCACATACCTGTAATCCCAGCACTCTGGAAGACTGAGGCAGGATGATCACAAGCTTGTGCTCAACCTGCCTGCCCTGCTATTCCCTCTCTTCCCACTGCCTCCTGATTTCTGGGCCACAGTGAGTGCCTCCATTGTCTCCCAAACATTCCTAGGCTGCCTGACCACAAGCTTTTCTTTTTCTTCTTCTTCTTCTTTTTTTTTTTTTTTTTTTTTTTTTTTTTTTTGTATTTTTACCGGTACCAGGGATCGAACTCACAACCACACGCTTGCAAAGCAGGCACTTATGCCGCTGAGCTAAATCCTCAGCCCCCCAACACAAGCTTTTCTTCTGTCATCTTCAAACCTCAGACCTCTGCTTATGGCTGCCAATCAAATCAATATCCAAGTGAAATCCAAATCCTGGTCCCCCACTCCCTGACCCTCTGTCCTGGATCAATTTCTCTTATCTGAATCTTTATCCTACTTTATCTACCTGGTCATATGAGCCTTATAATAAAAAATCATAACGTTGCACTTTTATTATTGTAAGGAATGTCACATTACCTCCTTCATACAATTCAACAACCATTTTTGTTGAATGAATACATTTAAGTGTGTATTCTATATGCCAGACAGTGGGCTGTCCCCTTTATACATATTTCTCCACAAAATGATCACAGCTAAGCTAAAAGAACGTATTAGGACTCTCGTGTCCTCGGGAGGTGGGTGGTGGGAGACGGGCTAATGCTCAGATGGAACGGTTCGCTTTTTTAAGGAGCCAGAAGGAACCAGGATTCCAATCCAGGGATGTGACTCCAAGCTTTGTGCTCTGCTTCTCAAGAGAAACAGATTTAAAATCAACTATGCAAACGTCCCGCTACTAAGGACATTTGCAACTGCCAGTGTGGGTATGACTTCCATCAATGTCCCTGACTTATAGACGACTTCGCGGCGACCTCTGCTTCTAACCTGAGCGCAGAGGCCTAAATAGATTGAGGTCCGCTAAACGCTGCAGACAATGCTTACTGCCGCTAGGAGGCTCTCTCCGCCTAAGGCAAAAAGAGCACAAGGCACGCGCGTGGCCGCCCGCGCGCCAGACACTCGCAGCCCAGCGCAGACGCCGGGCTCCACTCCACCTCCCCAAGGCCGGATGTATTTTGCTTAAATCTCTGCTCGGGCAAAGCTTGGCCAGAGATTCCATCAGCAATGCCCCAGTATGGAACAGTTTTCACAGCCACATCCCGGGCTCTCCCGAGTTGCTGTGGGGGGCTGTGGGGTGCTGTGGGGAGACCCCATGCTCATTCGAAGGCCACCAGAATAAACTTACTACGCCGAGGACGAAGGGAGCGCAGGGAAATCGTCTTCCGCCCAGAAGTGGGAGGCTCGATGGGGTACCCCAGAACTGCATTCCGCAAACGCCAGCCTGGCCTGCTTCACCAGCACCACCAGCACCACCCGCCCAGCCGCTCGCAGAGAGAACAAACACCAGGCCGTGACCCGGGCGGCCGAGCCCTCATCCCCACCCGGGGGAGCCCGGGGTCTGCAGAGGCTTCTGCAGCGTCTTTAGGGTTCCCCGGGGCTCCAGCACGGGGTTGCGGGTTAAGATGCTGTGTTTCGACGCTTCGCTGCGCCTTTGGAGGGAGGCTCAGTGCAAACAGGGCAATCACTGATCTTGGGGATTTGGGGGGGAAGAGGGAGCTGTTAAATTACCATCGCATTTAAAAGATGAAGGAAAAAGACGAAGCGAATGTAAACTGGGTTACACACCATTTCTACAGGTTTCACCATCCTTTGAATGGAGACACCAGAAATACGACAGGCGGCGTGGGCCTGAGAGGTCGCGTCGCAGCGCCAGGCAAAACCGCTGCCATCCAAAGACTGACCCGGAGATTGGAGAGCTCCGAGGGGCCGCCGCGAGAGGCAGGAGGCCGTCCGCGGGGGAGCGGTTTTGCCGCAGCCGAGCCCCGCGGCCAGGGCAGCCGGGCATTGTTTCCGCGCCCGGGTGGGGCTCCGCCTGGGGGGACGTGCGTCCCCGGGACCCGCCCGCAGCTTTCCCAGGGGACCCGGGCTGCGGCGCGGCCCAGCGCGGGCTTTGTGAAGGTCTCCGGTCACCATGGAAACCCGCAGGCACGCCGAGTGGCCGGGCCCGGGGCCGCGCCCTCTGCCCCGCTCGGACCCCGGCCGCGCAGAGGCGCCTGTCGGGATTTGTAGTCGCCGAGTGGCCGCCGCTCGCGGCGCCGAGGACGCGGGGCGCAGCCTGACCCCGCCTCCCCTTAACCTGCGGCGCGAGGTGGGGAGCGCGGGGAGGAGCACCCGGCCGTGATTGGCTGCGGCCGCGCCCAGCCCCCACCGCGTCCCCTCCCCCGCGCGCCACCCCCGACTCCCGCGGCAAGCGCGCCAAGGCGGCCCCGAGCGAGCGCGCGTGCAGCCGCCGCCGCCCCGAGCACCCGGAGCTCCCACGCCGCGGCGAGACTCGGGACCGAGCCACAGACGGACCCTCGCAGCCGCAGCGTCCCGGACGAGTGGGTGACGGAGGGGGCTGTGGGCTTTACGTTCCCGGGGCTGGGAAATCCGCCGACCCGGGCCTCCCTGAGGGTGCGCACAAAAGGGGAGGATGGGGTGCGCCTAGGAGCCCGAAGGCAAAGGACGTGGCGGGAGGCGTGGTTGGGACTGGGGACGGCAGCTGGGCTACACTGGGGCGCAGGTCGGGTCCTCTGTGCGCCCTGAGAGCCCCGTGAGGTGCCGGGGCGTACAGTGTGTGCTCTCGGGATTCGCTATTACCCGCGTGAGCGGGCAGCTGGCTTGCAAGGACTCACGCCGGGCACACGGTGGGCGCCTTTCCCTCGATCGCCGACGTGCAGTGAGTGGCGGGAAGGCTGGGCCGGTCGTGCCGCGTCCCAAGTCCCCACCCCGCCGTTCGTTACGCATCCTCTGTCCGTGTCGCCCCGGGCTGGGAGCTGCCCAGCCTGGACCCGCCCGGGTGGTGGTCTGCGAAGTGGACGCCTGCAGAGGCCGCCCCAGCTGCCTGCGAGGCACCTGCCCGAGCCCCAGAGCCCCAGAGACCGCCCGCTGCTGCCCGGGCCTCGCCGCCTGCGCCGACAGAGCCCCCACGCGAGAGCCGCCCCGCAGCATCCATCTGAGCGCGCGAAGCAGGCCGTCGACGCCCGGGGCCGGGGAGGGGGCCGGTCTGGGCCGCAGAGAAGCCAGGAAGGGCAGCAGCAAAGATGGGCCAGGCTAGGGAGCTGGGTGGGGACAGGTGCGTGCTGGAGGCTGGGGTGGGGGCGGCGGGGGCCGGGTTGGTGTGGGGAAGGGAAGGGGGCGCGCCTGCGTGGAGAGGGAAGGGGCGAGGTGCAGGTGGCGCGGGGCGAGGCCAGGCCGCCGAGGGATGGGGAGGAGGGGAGCGCGGTGGAGGCCGTCTGGGTTGGAAAGGGCAGGCCAGAGGGGGAGGAGGCCGCCGCTGCGCGAGGTGGGGTCCGCCGGGGAAGGGGGTCCCCCGCTGGGGAGGGCGGGCCGCCCAGCAGATCTCCAGCCTGAGGACGCTGGCGTGGCCGGCAGGGCGCGGTCCTGGGGTCGGGCGAAGGACCCAGGATGGCGGAATCGGGACGGGGCGAGGCTGCCCCGCGAGGAGCTTTGTTTCCTAGCTTGGAATGAGCCCGCAGAGATTGGGGGGGATTTTGTGGGGATCCGCAGCGCCCCCCGGCACGCCCTGTTCTCGCGGAGCTGGAAGGCTTTGCCCAGCGGCAGATGCTGCCGGGGAGGCGGAATGGGGGCGTCTCCCACCCCGGAGACCCGGAGAACAATAGCCGGCCCCGATGTCCGCTGGACGTCGAAGCAGGGCCCCCCAGAATTCAAGTGTGCAGTGTTCTGGTGCAGAAAGCGCTCGTTGAGAAACCCTAGGGCGTTGCTGGCTCCTTGGGGTTTGCGTGGGGGCCCCCCAAATCCCGAGGGGAGTCTCACCTTCCCGCGGGCTCTGGAGCCCTGGCACGGATCCCCCCGCCCTTTTGGTGCCTCCTGGCTGTTAGCCAGCGGCTGAGATGCGCAGCGGTTAGTGGCGCAGAGCTTGGGGCGCCACTAGAGTCCCAGAAACTGGGTGTCTTCTGGCTACAGAGCAGGCTCCGGAGCAGCCGGCTTTGTCTCTGGAGACTGCCCAAGTCTAGCGGACTGCTGTGCTTCCTTGGGGGAGCTGTCCGGGCTGGTAGGTTTAGGGTTATATTGGGGAGAAGCGGTAGTGGGGTTCCCCGCCCAGGGTGTGGCTCCTGGTTTTCTACAGCCGAGGACGCAAGCTTCCCTCTGCCGGTGACCACACCCAGGCTCGCCGGTCCTTTGCAGATGAGCCTGTATTGTCTGCTGACCTAAGAGTGGGAGGGCTCTTGCCCACGGGAAAGCAGACGAGCCGAGTGGAAACAGGCGGGCCCGGCCGAGCTGCGCGGCGCTCACAGATGTGCGGGCAGGCTTGCCGGCTGCCTCAGCGCTGTGCATGCCAGGGCCGCAGCGCCGCGACACGCAAAACATCAGCCGCCAGCCAGATTTCTGTGTGGCAAGTTTTCTGTGCTAATGGTTTAGCTGATAAAGGGAATCTGAAACACAACGCTAAATTACTGTATATTAAATTTTGTAAAAGCCAGGCAGAGGCACTTTTGCTCCAAAGTGGGGAGGATGTTTGGCTAAATGACAATCACGGATGGAATAGGTGTCACGTTGCCTTTCTACTAAGGGATGAGCCTTTGGCTCTCTTAATCAAGCCTTCAGACCTCTTGTGGGGCTTCTGACTGGCAATGGGCTAGCTCCAGCAGGTTTCAAAAGATGGCGCTTTGAGGAGCCTCTTAGAGTTTACAAAAAGATCTGGAAGGACTGGCTGGAATGTTTCCACTGGCTACTTTAAACTATTTTTATTAAATCAAATACAAATGCATGCATGTATGTATACATATATATGTATGTATGAACACATGCATCCAATGTGTGCAAAAACTAAAAATCCCAATGTTGGCAAAATCAGAATATGACAGTACAGAGTCTTGTTTTGAAATAAGTGTTTTCATATCATTGACTTAAAAGGAGAAGTTTCAAGATGGACTGTCTTATTGGTTTATTCCTTTTGTATTAATTCTTGGAGTTCTAAGATACCGTATTCCTAGGAAGCCGCTCTTGAACAGCCCATACAACCCATCCCTCGTGGCGGGGCATTTGGGGGTGAGGATGCCAGTTTTCCCATCTTGAATTTTGTAGGGAAGAGGGACCAAAAACACCATTGCCACCCAACCCCTCACCCCTGCCACCAACTATCACCTTCTGCCAAGGCTGCTCCTGTGAACTCAGGGAGGAAAGAGCAAAGTAGCCCAAGAGAAGAAATCTGTGTCTGCAGAATTCTGGGCTACCCTCTTAACTGGCTTGTTAGGAACCTTGGCTAAGTTGTCCATCCTTAGAAAGATGTCCATCCTGGCGGGTTTCGCCATAGTCTCTCCAAGATGCAAACCTGAGCTGAGGCTAGCTGCGTGGCTCTTAGTGTGCTGCATGTGTTCATCCCGCAGTTACTCTACAAGGCAGGCACACACAGCTGGCCGAAACTGAGTTTGAGGTTTGGAATTCTCACCTCTGTGCAGTGCCGCCGCCTCTCTGTCATCTCCCTGCAGTGGATATCTAAGAATGCTTAGCCCCTGGTCCAGGACGTAGCGCCTGCCTACATTAGTTCCTTGGAACGGTGGGCCAAAGGTCATCATGATGTGGGCAAGGCTAGGGTCAAAGTAAGCTGATTTTACAGATCTTTTTCTTTCCAATTAGAAAAATACCAGGAGCTGAACAGGCTGGTATTGTTAGATGAGGCTGAGCCCCAGTGTATTCTTCTGGTACCAAAATTACCAATTTCTGATAGAATCTGATCCTGTATATTTTTTGTTTTCCTAGCTGTAAGAAAACATTTCAGAAAATATTTTCAGTAAGACTCAATTCATAGGCCCCTGCGGGAGAGCAGTAATACGGAATGTACATCTTTGTCAATGTGATATTCTGTAAGGAGAAACTGGCATAATATGAGAGTGAATAAGAAAAAGCATGTTTTGTATTTTTCAAGAAAGCATGATTGAGTTTATTGCACTGCTAGTGCATAAGTGAAAAACAACTTCAAATCTGCTCTGCCTTACATTTTTTATACAAAGATGAAAGGTTAAGTGCTGTGGTATGAATCTTTTATGAACTTGGATCTTTATTATGGGCACAAATTATATACTTCAGCAAAAGTTCATGAAGGAGCTTTGTTTGTGATTTGTTCTGGTTCAGCCTTTGAGACTGGCTTCACTTAGATTGACTTAACCATAGCATCCCCTGAGGGATGTCATCAAGGGCTGTCATCAGTCACAGCCCCATCTCCCATTTGCTCCTTGCTTCCTGGCCCACAGACCTCATCCACATAATTCAGGCTCAGAGAGAGCATGCACAGGATGGAGAATTGGACCTCGAACCAGAAAGCCTGGTTCAAATCCTCTCTGCCACTTTCCATCGGTCCCTAGGTGAGTATTCACCTGTCTGCTCAGGGACTCGGTTTGTTCTTCCCCACCCCAAGCCTGGTGGGTCAGTACAGTACCACCTGAAGGATTACAGGTTAATCTAGAGAGAGCCGCAGAGCAGAGTCTGCTCATCAATACATATCAGTTGTCACTGCCACTGTCATTGTCATCCTGCTCTTCTCCAGTGTATGCCCTTAAAAATTACATTTCGATTCCCCATTTAAACTTTCTGCAGGGCCAGGACAGGTGCTGCTCTAGGACCTTCACAGTGGGTAAGAAAGAATGATTAGGACCCCTTTCTGAAACTCCCCCCTCGCAAATAGCAGGAATTTCTCTGTGCGGGGTCTGTTCCTGGATGACTGTATGCACAGCTGCTGCCAGCAGCTGAGAATGTGGAGAGGGAAGCATGCTCCAGAAGGGCTTTGAGCCTGGCTTTGCCAAATCCTCCCTGAGTGTTGGGGTGATCCTGGGTGACCCCATCTCTACGCTACCCAATCATCAAGCGCCTGAGACTGGTGAGATGTGTTGTTCCAAGACTATTCTGTCCTTGGAAGGGGAAAAGATTGACCATTTTTGACTGATGGCAAATTGTTGGGAAGAAAATATTTCTAGTTTTCCAGCTAAGAAATATACATCGTGCAACCTGGCACTATGGATTTATTTATTTCACCAACACTTGCAAAGCGCTTGCTGTGTGAAGTGGTTCATTCTAATTCCTGTGACTTAGATACTGTTATAATCCACAGCTGAAGGGGGCAGCGGAGGTAAAAGGCCACCCAGAGAGAGAAGTGGCAGAGCCAGAGCCCAGGCCCGAGGCTGCTCAGGGTCACTCTCAGTCCGTGACCCCCGAACAGCAGAACACACAGAATCGATCGGTGCGCTCATGGTGCCAGGCAGGTCTGCACCTGCAGGGCAAAGCAGCCGCCCGGCTGGAAACTCAGACCCAAGCATCAGCAGTGCAGCTTTGGCTAGAATTTCTTCGTCTTGCCCGGAACAGCTCTGCTTTTCTCTTACTCAACTGACTGTGTGGGGCCCACTTACACTATTGGGGAAAGTCTCCTTAAAATAAGGGTTGGCTAGTTGTAGCTAGTAACCACATCTACGAAAGACTTACGGGGTGAATTTTTGATAACTGGGCGCTACAGCCTAGCCTGAGTGATACACAAAAATTAACCACCGAAGCCTGTAAACTCTACCCCATGCCGAGGACCTTAGTAGTCGGGTATAAGGTTTACAAGAAACTAAAGAATTTAGCAGTAAGTTTTATCAAATTACAAAATGGTACACTTAACTGTGTTTAAAATAGAATTTGGGACTGGAGATGCAGCTCAGTAGTAGAGTGCTTGCTTAGCCTGCCCAACACCCTGGGTTCAAGCCCCCGGTCCTGAAGGGGAAAAAGACAGAATGAGGAGGAATTTGTTCCATTTTTCTTACCACCTAACTTCTGACACAAAATATTGCTCCAAGTAAGCACTGAGTCATCATCACTGACTGACTATCTGATCTGGGTGATATTTAACGGGCTATTTCAGCCACTGAGACGTCGGGTTCCCCATTTAAATTTACAGTCGTGTGGCCCAAGTGAAGTTGGGGTTTTATGAATGACTAAGTTCTGTGGAAGAAAGAAGTGTTTCTGAATTCTGAATTAACTGCCACGCTTCCCACCCCCGACATCTGTTCATTTTCGCTGGTTTGGCAACGCTTTTTGGGTCCGTCCCTGCCTGGCCTCCCTGTGAATGTGTCTCCCACCGGA